AAAAACTGAAAACATTCTGGACCGGCCAAAATGCAATGTGTTCGCGCAGCTTTGCTACTCTCCATGAGTGCTCTACCCTCCCGTAATTGAAACTGTGTGCAAACTGGTTTGACCTCCCATTTTAAGGTCTAAATCTCTTCACTATAGCATCAAAGCAGCTACAGCACCAGGTGCAGCAGGCACATCGATGGACAGTCTTGTGATATTGTTTTCTGTCCGCATCTCAGTCGATAAAGCCAAGCTTTGATGGGAAAGCGTGTCTGGAAAGTTCTCTTGTCTGAACAAAGTTTTTCAAGGTTCCCTTCGCACTCTAAGTATTGCCTTCAGTTGTACTTGCTTGCCAAGTGGCAATCTGGCGAGCTAGATTTCTCCCAGCACATCCACAGCAAGACTGCTATCATAGCACAAAGCGACAGAATCAATGCAAGGCCTTGCTGAAGACTTCATCAGATTCCAAAGGTATTGGATATTCACCTGACTTTCTTTTTTTACCTGTCACACTTCTTGGTCTTGCCAGCAAGAGACCAATCATGAACACGCTTGCGATAGTCCTTAGGTCATGCTGGCGAGTAATGCTGCAACACTGAAGGACAACTTCACTGGGCTTGGCTTGGAAGCAATATTAATGCCAGGGCTCCCATTGGCATTCAGCTGCTCAGAGATTTGCTCCATCAAAGTATCAGACACAAATGGGGCGAAGGCAGACTTGATCGTTGTCTTTAGTTCAACCAAAGGAGCTGTGGCCTTAGAGAGAGTGGCTATGATAAAGGAGCACCTCCAAAGGTTAAAAGACCTTGACGAATTTGCAGCTGTGAGACACCAGTGAGAGAAGCGCGGAGCGTTGTTAATGAACCTGGACTTCACACTTTGAAATCGCCAATTCTAGTCAATTTGGACTTCCAGTTACTGGGAGCAAGGACGCTACTAGGGGCTCCTGGCCTTACTACTAGGAGTAAGAGCACTACTAGGAGCAAAGGGCATCGCTTCTGGGAGCAAGGACGCTACTAGGTTGCAATCTAAGACACTGCCAGACAATTGATTGTCCACTTCCACACGTGCCGCACTCAAAGCAGCGGCTGTGCCAGACGAGAGCGCGTTACTGACCTCGCCGGGCACCAGCCGATTCACCAAATTCGTAGGACCCGTACAGAACGGCACCCGTGCCTGGGAGAGTGAGGTGGCCAATGGAGTACATGCAAGACCTTAGACGAAATCCAACGCGGTCACCATCCGGTAACCACAAGAACCTGTTGCTTCCAAAGAAAAGCTGCTGTGCGGACAAACCAAACATCACTGACGGCCCTGGCACTCGTGCAATGTTCCAGCCGGTGCAGTGTTTCGTGTGTCCGATAGCATGCTTGCCAGCAAGTTCACATTCTCCTCGTGAGCAAGTTCTCACAAAGCAAGTTCTCACAGGTTGACTTTTCCCAAATAGATCTGCCAAGGGGCTGTTGCAACAGCTACGGAGTCTGTGATGACCTTATTGTTTGACTCACTTGACTCATGGTTCTCCTCGCTATAATGTAGATTCACTCTCTTTAAAAACCTGACAAACCTGGCACCCTGTTCTTCTTTGTTTTGTTGCACGGCCGCCTGCGCCGTGCACGTAGAGTCAGGTCTCAATGAGCCAGAACCCAGTCGTGCAAGGCGTTGCAAGAACTCACAGGTTCTTATAGACTATATGATTCATATTTATAATCTATCTAAACGATGCATGCATACGTTCTTGTCCAAGAGCTACAGAAGTATGCATATTCTTTAAATTGTTTCTTTTCAACATTAGCTCCAAGCCTCTTGCTTTTCCAGGGTTTTACCATTCTTCAATCAGCTACTTTGGAGACCGACAATCTTGTCCACTCACCCTGGTGGAATGCATACAAAATAGTTCAAATCACACCTCAACAGAATAGCGAAAAGGGCACCTATCCCCAACAAACTATAGTTGGCATGTTATCAGTCTCTCAGAAGGGAGAGAAAAGAATGTTGGCCACATCGTTCTAGTGGTCTGGTTTCTCCAGCTTTGCTCAAGCTGCAGTTTGCATACTGTCTCGTTCCAGCTCGAGTCGTCAGTTCTTGGGAAAGGGTTGTATACGACCGTATCTGCGTCTCTAAGATGTGCTGGTGGAAAGCGGAAAATGCTTTCCTCTTTGTCACTATGCCAACATAAGTTCCGGGGTAGAAAACTGAACTATTTTGTTGTGATGGGGCTGAATGAACTACAAGGACATTAAAGCCTCGGCTCGAAAGTCACAAAGGTCCAACAAGTGTGATTGAACAAAGCCTAAACCCACGCGCTCCTATGTTTCCCAACGCTTTCTTTGTTCTTTGCTCTGTTTCTTGGGAGTTCAACCTTTATTGCACGTTATATAAGTTGACGCCTTCCGCACTCTGCAAAGCAGTGCAAGTGCTGGCATAAAGCACTTGCCATTAAAAGAAAAGCGAAGGACAGGCTACACATGCTAGACATGACTGTACTGCACTGTGACCATGGAGGCTAAGGCCCCTTCGCATTGATGGTTCGACATATGCCTATGGTCCTATGGTCAATTTCGACTGACTGGCTCATCACTCGTCACTATGAAGAATGGAAACGTCATGGGAAAAGTATCAAAATGGCTATCAACTCTAAACACCAAGTCGTTTCCAGGCAGTTTCAGTTGCCCCTGGATAAACGAAGACTGGCTCACAACTGGTGAAGCAAGAAAGGACGCTTGCCTGCGCAATCTACTGTGGGTTTGCTTCCATGCTGGTTCATTTCGAAACTGTGTCAAATTGCGCGCCGTAATTGCTCACAATTTGACTGACGCACGTTATAAATTCAGGGTAGTGCCAAAATCAGATGCATTGCTACGGAAAGTTGAGTGCGTTGCAGCTGTCTGTGAAAAGTTTTTTGCGCGGTCGGGTCTTTTCCGCGGCAATTTGGCCAGTTCCGTTTTGTGGTCTCTGTTGTTCAGTGTGTGCCGTCCCGAGCGCCGGCGTGTTTTGCAAAGATGCTTATGTACACCAAACACTCGTTGACAACAGCCCAACGTGCGTTTCTGCTACAACATCTAGAGACCTCAAAGTAGTCTGTGGAAGTTGAAGACCTGTATGCTATCCCTACCATCACGCACAGTGTCTATGCAACAATCACATTGCTGCAAGGCACGCTTGTGTCCAGAAGTATAGCGCGGAGATCATTGATGAAGCTTGAACCGCTCGACAAGCTGCCTGGCCCGAAATGTCGGGGCTCGCAAAAAGGCCTCGCCCTGCAATCTTGAACGCATCAAGCAAAGGTTTGTTCCCCGCCTTCTAGCTCATCAAAAATGCTGAGCACTGGGATCAAACCCAAGAAATAGGGGTCGCTTTGCCCTGTGAAGGTAGAATTCACCTCGGCAAAACAAGCACTGCAAGGTTGTTGTTCAAAGGACGTTAGGAAAGACATGTGTCTCATGTACACACTCGTGTCACAAAAATGGCAACCTGTTGGAACAGCTTGACAGGTCGCCAAGGTAGCCGCAGCGCAGTTGGTGACATCAAAGCCTTCTTGTGCGCTAGCATAGCCGCGAGTGGAAAGGCTGCTGACGATCACCAGCGCCAAAACAAAGCTGCCGATCCTGATCCAGCCGTGTCAAAAAACACAATAGAGCCAATCCCAAAAGGCATTGCAAAACCAACGGGATCAATGCGCAATGGAGAATTGCGGAACTTGGATGTCAGCCAGTTTTTCACCAAGAGTCAGCACCAAGGCAATCAGTTTCACCAAGAAGGGAATGTTTCTCTGCCTGCGCATGTGACACTAGGACGTTTTGAATGCATGTTGGTTCCTTTGATCAATCTGAACTGTCTGATCTGTCTGAAACGGTTTCATTGGCTTTGCCATTTGCCATTGGCTTTGCCTCTGGCAGCAACGACAGCATTTGCAGAAAGGGCAAGCCGTCCAGCAGCAAATCAGAGCATAGATGATCAGGATAATAAAGAACATGATCTGCGTGTCGCAAGGTTGGATGAATTCGTCAGCTCAAATCAAGTGAAACGATGCAAGTGTCCACCTTTCACTCTCATGGGTTTAAAACCAAAGGACAAGGGGTGCAGCTGCCCCGATCATTGCTCCCGGGAGCTTCTCTGCGGCCAACGTCTGCAGCTCATTTTGATTTCGAGCTGCCTGTCGGTCAGCTTGGGTCAGCTCACCCGAACACAGAGTGCGTCTTATCTGAACTTCTTCAAGCCCGTCAGAGCATTGGAGTTTCTTTTGATGTTGGCAGTGTCTCAAGCTCCCCGGTCCTGCATGATTTCAAGAAGGATGTTGTTCGCGGAGGCATCCTCTAGCTGAGCTCGGGCAGTTGCACGGTCCTCAGGTTGCAACGCATATCCGTCCAGGGGTGTGATCCTTAAAGGCATTAGGCAAAGCCCTCTTGCTACTAGAAAAACGGGAACTTCTAAACAAAGGAAAAAAGAAAAAAAAGTAAGGCAAGAAAGAATGCTTTCGGATTTAGCTCACAACCAGATCCCGTGGTCCTCGATTGTCATTGATGAAGCGATTGCACAAGCCTGGCCGCAAAATGCAAAAGAAAAATCAGAATTTTTTGTTGTTCCGCACAACGCTGAGTCCGCTGAAGCCAAAAGGGGCATTCCCGGTGCTTGCCATAAAGTCTGTGCTCTTCTTCTTTCAGGCTTTCTCTCCTTCTCTTCGATTGTACTCAACACAATTCTGGTGCCCCAACAAAAAATGCTGCTTAGTGGGTTCTTGCTTTCAATGTTCCTTGGTCTTTGACATGAGTTGTAGGTCATCAGGATTTGGTGAGTGTGATCGTTTTTCATGTCATGTGTTTGTTTGTGGTGAGCGTGTTATCGTTTTTCAGCGAAACATACATTTTGACCACTCACTGACCATTTGTCATGCTCACTAATTTTGAGCCTAGCTCACATGAGCGAGAATGGTACGGCTACACTCCCTGGAATAACCATCAAAGGGGAAACAACCCCTTGGTTTTCCATTGTTTCAATCAGTATATATAAAGCGTTTGACATTGATTTTGAAGCTTCATACCAACTGCAGCTGTAGTATGCAAAAGAAAGTTTGTTGGCAGCATATAGATTGCAGCATCAAATGGGAGTTGATTGAACCCAAGAGATATCGGATAAAACCCCCAAGTGAAGCATGTTCTTGCCTGCTCAGCTTTCGCTGCAGCTTGAGATGCCATGTCAAGATCATCTTGAGTCACATAGGTTCCCACCTCACATGCCAACACTTTCATAAACGTTCAAAGACCTGAGGTTCATCCGATCAACAAGACTACCAAACACCTGTTGGACTCGCTCTGCTGCCAAGTCACTTGAATGGGTTGTCCTTTCATCGGTAAGCAAACAAAGGGCTGCATAAGACTCTCTCACTCAGCATGCTTTAGTGGCTAAAACTTGAAGAAGTTTCAGCGGTTTCAGTTAATGGTCCAAATGATGCTGCTCAAATTCCTGCCTGAACTCTGGTCGAAGATACAAAGATACAGGAAGGCCTGTAGAACCTAACATCCAGCAAGTCGCTCGAAGTTAGGTGCAAAATGATATGTAAGGCTGGCCTGAACAATATGAATGTTCAACATTCCGATTATGCCACCATCAGCATACTGCACTACCAGCATCACATTTGCTACAGCAAGCACATAAAAAGGAATCCCTCGAAGACTCATCAAGTTAATAAGTCTACAAGCTATGTACAAATGCGTCACTCCTCGATCTATCCAACTACCTCCTTTGGAAGATCGAAGGCAATTTGGAACTATGAACCCGAAAGACTGTCAGAGATGCCAAATATCCATTTTGCATCACCTCGAAAACAAGGCCAGGAAAGCCATAGAAGTACGTGCTGCCAAAGGAAGTGTAGCCTTCTTGGTCCATCACAAGCGGCTTGCTCTTTGCCAAACCACCCACGCGGCATAATGCCTCTTCTATGTCTGCCCATTGCCACCGCACATCAATGCGCACAGCATCGGGCCTCTCTGTAGAGTCCACGGTTTCTTTTTCTATGGTGTCAGGATGACTTTCGAGATCATCAGGTTCACTTTCTTCACACACCTCACCAAGCAACACATCACCAGCCGAAGCGCCTTCAGCTTCACCCTTTTTGTCAAGGAGCAGTTCGAAAAAGCAACGTGTGTAGCGGCTGAATCGCTCGTGCGTTGGGGGGTTCACATGCAACACAATTTTCTGCAACGAGTGGGTCTCCCCATCAAACAAAGCATCCAAGCCGAGGTAAAAGTAATTGTAGTAGTAGTCCACATCAGGACTTTTGGCCGGAGTGCGCGTGGAATGAATGCGAAATGCATCAACATCCTTGATGCATACCTGTTGAGGTGGTCCAAAGTCTGAAACCACGTCTTGTGGCATGGCACCAAAGCGCAGCTTCCGGCCCTGCAGTTGCACACCTACACCAGGCAGCACACCGACAGCCTCCAGTAACTCCGGCACAACCGAAGAAGGGCTTTGTACGGATGCCTGTGCAGCGAAAACCCAAAGCAAAGACGGACTGCCTGCTATGTCCATAGGATGCTCCTCTTTGGCAGCCAATGCGTCAACCATGTCCTCCGGCAAGGGAAATTCAAAAGCAAGGCCAGGATATCTCAACACGTATGCAGGAGAGTCGCCGACACGAAAGTCGCCGATCCATGTTGGGCCAAAGATCTGATAAATGTCTCGGAGGCCCAAGGAGTTGAACTTCTGACCACTGTAGATCAACTCTGGCGCAAGTGCCCTTGCCTCAAGTTGCTCCACTTCATCTTCTTGCAAGCGCACAGAAATCAGGCGCAAATCCTGCTGATAGGAATCAAAGCAAAGTTGCAGCCCCCAAGACGGCAGCCTCAAGGTTAGGTCCACATCAAAGGGCCTCTGGTCATCAAAGCTGAATTCTGCACGATCCAGGCTGCCCATTTTCTGTACGATGGACAGCGCTTCATTGACTCCCATGCCCAAGCAAAAAGAGCCCACTCGATGAGACGGCTCCACGGGCCAAGTCAACCCGCGACCTCCAAGCATGTTCCGCACTAGGTCATACAAATCCCCGAGCCCAGGTCCGCCCAGGTCCACCACAATACTGCTTTGAGCCACACGGTCTCAAGATGCGGGTAAATAGGGCTGAAAAGGCTGGCTTTGCAGCCTGTTTTCTGAGCGAGGGCAAGGACATATTTCTGTCATCATGGCAAGGCTTGTCACACGCGCCTTCATGGCCATCGCTGGCCAGGAACCTGTGCAAGCTCAAGCAGTGCATCTGTTGCAACAAATCTGTACATAAAAAGCTGCTTTTGAGGCGGGATAAATGCGGGCAACGGGAAAGGGACGAGGGTTCCTGGATTTCAGGCGTCGTTGCCCGGTAGTTGCCGGCCAAATGGCGGTAGAAGCACCTTTTGAGGCTCAACTCGGCGACTCAGTGGATGTCGAAATCCCGTTTGCCCACATCCACCTGCTGGTATTCAGCAACGCACCCGTACCGCAATAGCTTTGAATCCAATAAAGAATCGGAAGCTGCGGTGTGAAGCCCTTGAAAATTCAAAGTGCTTTCTCAAGGCCCAAGACTAACAGCAGTGTTTTGCAATCAGTTGGTGTTTGATGCCATCAAGCTTGGGTCGTCTACAAAGTCTTCCACTCAAGCTTGATTGCATTCTTGTTGCTTACATGATGAGATCCTACCGCTGCACTTGCTTTGTCTGATTGATTGCGTCACAGGCTCTTTTTTGACACCTGCAGCGTCCACTTCTCTTTGGTTGCCTGTTCCTTTCTTTGCACTACAGCTAGCTGGACGCAGTTGTGAGAGTAGCTGTTAGCAAAACCACACACTCTGTATCTATATATATGATCGATTATCTGTTTCTGTATTCCCGGGGCCAGTTCTATGGTAAGCACAAAAGGAAACTTTCTCCTCTCTGGTCTTCACATTGCAGCTCAGTCGTCCTGCAACACATGGTTCATTCCGCCGATCGTTCTATTGACGCTGCATACTTTGCAATGAAACCATGATGCTTCTTGTGGAAGACACCTCAAGCTGCAGTGTCCAGACAAAACACCATCTGCTTTTATCACTGCCATCGCAATTAGGTTGGAGGCCATCGCTAGTAGGTTGGAGGCCATTCCTATTAAGTTGGAGGCCGTCGCCGTCGCTCTCAACTCCGGCCTCTTGCTCTGCCTCCAGGATCCGTTTAGCTTCGGCCTCAGCAGCCTTCCTCTGCTTCGCCGGCACTTGGGCATGCTGGCAGACGCGAGCACGTGAAAACCACGACAGCCCTGATCACAACCACTTGCAAAAAGCATTGCTCCAAACATCTTAGATCGTAGTGGCCAAAAGCCGCGTTGTTATTGTCCATGCGAATGGAGACAGAATTGGGAGGAGGAGTATTGACATAAAACCTTTTCAGCCATCCAAGGCGTGGATTATGCTTAACAATCGTTGAAGCCTGCCAAACGGAATTGACACAAACAGCCTCATAGTTGGATGCAGGACAAATCCAGGAGATCTCAAGCTCAAAGTCTTTGTCTTTTTCGTCATGAACCTCAGCGACAAACCCTGCTGCTCTGCAGGATCCCCATCTTCTCTGCAGATTTGATACACGTGCCGCATCTCCAGCCTTGTGAATGATCTTGGCAACCTCAATCAATTCCGGGAGTTTGCAATATCATATTACAGTCCAAGCGACATGTTGCAGTCAGCATTCTTTCTTCCACCTGATTTAAGCCTCATGCAAGCATCAACGCCTGCTCGCACGTGAGCTCCGGGTTGTTCCTGTCAATCGATCAAGGCCGAGCAGGAAAGAATCACGCTGTTGGACGGACCCATCCTATATTTTATCAAATCTGTTATCTCTCAAACATGCAAGCAGCACGCCAGGACCTTCTCAATCTCAGTCTTGGCTGCTTGTTTGCCTGGCCATGGCACTTCGCAACAAAATTGGGATGCTATGGGGGCTTAAGATGCACAGCAACACAGCATCTTTCAAGAGTGGTGAATTCAAGAGAGTCCGAAATCTCCAGATGGCGTTCTTTCTACCCCAGCAGTGATGGAAAACCCTGAATGCTTGCTGGGAATGCCCTTGCCCTCTGCTGTGGCTTGGTACCTTCCAAAATCAGCAGAAACAGCCATCTGCATTCATTTGAATTGATTACCTTCCAGCACTTTTCGTTGGTTGCAGCCCTGCTCACAATCCGGGCACTTGTAAACCATGCCGTTGGGCTCAATGCAGAAAAGGCTGGGCTTCTTGGTCTCCTGCAAGTTTCTCTAGCCCAGTTCGTCCCATCGTTTTTGTCACAAATGACAAACACAAGAGCCTGTTCTTTTTTGAGGAACAGAGGGAACAAACCAGTGGAATTGAGCAGCGAGCTGCTTCTATGCAGTGTATTGGATAGCATGAAAAAGCAGGCTGAGTGATATTCATAGTGCAATAACATCAACCATCCCAAGTCTCTGACAAAGCAGCGAATGGTGGAACTGTGGAAATGTGTTGTAGCCATGGGTGGATGGTTAGGAGTCAATTGGGAACATCAGGCAAAAGCGTTCTAGTTCTAGCTGTTCTCCTGATCTACACATCCCAGCAGCGCAGTGCAGCCGAACGGGCGCACAGACCAGTACCTGCGGAGAATTGTTCGACTCAAAAACTTCAGAAGCCAAAGGTGCAGCACATGAACCTTCATGCACTTGGGCACAAGGTGTAAGCATGCATGAAGAGGCCCAAACCTCAAACAAGCTAGAATGCTGACTGAAGCTGTGCTCTTGCGGCACTAGGTGTAAAGCGTTCAGCAAGAAGCTCTGATGGCATTTCCTCACAATACCTGCCAGGAGAACAGTCCCGCGGTGGCAGCCAAATACAATCTCCACAGCAATTCAAAGCCGGAGCACGCGTTGAAATATTGCCTTAGATCACAAGCAGCATAACGAAACCATGCCTGAATCTAATCCTTCTTGAACTCGAAAAACGATTGAAGGAAATGCGCCTACGTAAAATGATTGCCCACTGAGAGCCCCTCGTGGCTTCTGAACGGGCTCGGCCTCAGCTACTTCTAATTCCAGCATGTTTTGGCATGTCTGTCTGCCTCCGCCCAGACCTTTGCAACCAACCCCCCGCCAAAGTATGTTCAACCCTGACCAATTCAGCGTTCCTTCTAGATTTTTAGATTTGCTGATCTCACGTCGAGGTCACAGCCAAGGTCTTCTGCATCTCAATTGCAGTTAACAAATGTCACCCACAATGTGAAGTCTCTAAGGGTTCTCACTGACGATCTGCCTCGCATCCGCCACCATTCCGGCTATGGACATGCCGGCACGTCTATGAACCTTACTGTTTTGCACAGTTGTTCTGTTTCGCACAAGGTGGAAGAAGCAAGTTGAAGACCTGGTTCTGTCAGCAATTCGGCTTCAGCTTCTCAGGGCAAGACGGGAAATATTCGCTTGGCAGTGCCCGGAACCAGCATTTTTGATAGCCTTCCCATCTGCATCTGTCTGTATGACATATATACAACTAACTATATAATGATGATACTGTTTGAATGAAAAGACTGATATCGGTGATGCAGCTAAGGAAGCGAAAGATTCTCAGCGGCTCTAAGCGATCGACAAGAACTTCTCAGCCGCAAAGACTACTCCGTCCTCCGATTCTCTTCTTGTGCAAAACAGAGGTATGCTCTTCATGCTGTTTGGATGTTACTCTTCGCTTGTCCTTGCAGCAAATAGCCAAGGTTGTGCCGCTGTTCTCCACTGCTTTTCCAGCATATTCGACCTGTCCAAACACACGAGGCCAAAAAAGGGCGAAGTGACGGTGACAGACCTGGAAGACTCGCCCATCGGGTGAAAACGTTGTGACCGACAGGTCATAGCCAGCTCCTGTTCCGGCCTCAGGGCTGCAGCGGTGAAAAACAAGCGATTCAATGTCATGGTTGGCAGAAGTCAAGTCACAAGCAACAGAAGACCAGTGGTTCAGGATCAAAAGTGTGCGGCTCTCTAAAATCTAGGAACCAAATCAATCATGCGAAGGGTTCTGCTTCCAGCATGTAGGTAGGAGCTCTTTTAGTACAACTAGCTTGCTGTATGTATCAGCTTGCTCCTCTACTGGTGGTCTTCGCGGCCCACCCACCCACCCACCCACCCACCCAAAAATAGAAATAGCATTGGCAATATAGTAAAGTCCAAAACTTGAGACCATATAAGAGTGATCAGAAAGAATGCTACAATGGCACAACGCTTGGCGTTCACGTGAAACTAACAACTCAAGGCTGTGGCCATGGGTACGGGAAATCTTTGGCTGCAAGAAGAGACTCTATATACGGGGCAGCTGTCAGAGCCAAAAGAAAGAAAACAAGCTGGAATGTTCTGCCGCATATCACACACAGCAAGTCAACTTGTCATGGCAATATTTATGAACTACATAATTCTGTCACCAACTTGTGATGTGGTTGCTTTGACTTACTGCTTTTTTGTCAGTGGCGGCGAGTCTTGAAGCTCTTGCACGATCTCAGCTCTCCTTAGCAGCAGCCTCTTTGGCCTTCTTGATCCTGTCTCCCTGGTAGTGTGCAGCAGTTCGGGCCTTCTTCAGCTTTTTGTAGACGGACTCGGTCTTCTCCTCCTCTGTGATTGCCCTCGCCTTGATACGCTTCTCCACCTTTGGCACTGGAATGATGTCCTTCAGCGTGTTCTGGGCAACGTTCTGCAACTCCGATCGAGGAGTGTCGCCCTTCCGCACACCCTTTGTGCCGGATCTCTTTGGGAATAGCATGAGCTTAGACATGTAAAGCTTTAGCCGCTCGACATTTGTCTGCAAGCTCTCCGTGCATCGGTTTCTGCGGCGATGGTCCACTGCAATCCCAATGGTCTTTGCAAATTTTCGAGGGATTTTGGCTTCCTTCAGCTCGTCCAAAGTGAAGCCTTTGCCCAATCGAAGCTTCATGTTGTAGCGCTGGGTTGGCGGGTGCACCAACGGACGCAGCAGCCCAGCGGAAGGGCGTGGGAAGACCTTTGCTGCCTTTTCTTTCCGTGTGTTGGCTCTGCGCTTCTTTCGGCCTGCCTGGTTCAACCAGGTCCGCATAAACACGCGGTTCTTGCGGCCACTTTGGCAGCCATTGACCTTTCGGAAGTGCACATTGGGAATGACGTTGTTGCCACCGTGACCCATCGCTCCTACTAAAGCAAAACTCGCCGCTCGACTAACGTGTTCCTTGAGGAGAAGAGGTACAAAAAGTGGAAAGTTCAGAGCGCTTGCACTCACCACAACGGCACAAAACAAAGTCAAAGTCCTTTGACCAGCAAAAAGAAGACTCAAAAACGCCTCAGGCAGTCAACCTTGACCAAAAGTTGGCTATGACATTGGCACGTTCATGCAAAATAAAAAGCCGAGAAGCCGGCACAACACAACATGGCCATTGAGGCCATTGCAGAGTATTTACTGCATGCAGAGTCAAGCACTTCCGTTTTCCAAACACAAACTCATCTGAAAGACGGGGATGCGCGCACCACCTGAAATGTCATCAGGTTCTTCCGGCGCTTTCCCGTTGCTGGCTCATGCGACCGCTCAGCTGCACAAGGAGAGCGTGCCAGGTCTGTTGGTCACTGACGGCACATCTAATGGTCGGCACCCTGCTGCGTGGCCTAACAAAATCATTGGAAATCCTGATGGGCCTGCCAACACAAAAAGAAAAGCAAATGCGCAAATGTCAGAATGGGCAGTCAAGCCACACACTTCTCAGGCTACCTCAAGGCTCAAGGCGATGCCTTTCTGCAAAACACAAAGCCCAGGATTCCGAGATTTACTCCCTTGTACTGAACCACTCTCTACTCCAAAACACAATGCACAAACCAAATCTCCACAAGTCATAGGAACACAACTAACATCTGGTTCGCAAACAGGGTCGACCCAGGAACCCTGGGTGCCACAGCGACGTGACCTCAGCCTTCCAAACTGGTAAGGAAGACTGCCAGGACCAGTTTGCCAGTGCACACACTTTTGGCTGCTCTTAAACGACTAAAGCACTGGCCTAGAAACGATAGGCCTAGAAACGTCTAAAGCACTGGCTGCTCTTCCTACACAGTACACAAGTTCTTCACTGTCTGGCAACTGGTGCAATCTAAGAGACTCGACTCGAGTTGGTCAGGCACAGCACCGAACTTCAGTGTGCAAACCCCCAGTACCAATTTCTGCGAATTAGCAATCTTGACTTGACAGGGGAATCGCAAAATATATGTCAAGCATTTGTGGATTTTACTGGTGGTCCGTCTCCCGCAAACCCTTGAGAGCTTGCCCGACCCATTGAGCATTGGTCAAAATGCACCTCAAAATACTAAACGAATTTCAGGCCACCGCTGTCTCAGTCGTTGCAGGCTTGCGACGCCAACATGGACGCGGTCGTTGCGGGGCATCTTGCGCCTAAGCATAAACAGGCCCTACGACAAAATGAAAACGACTGGTGTGCGTTGGCGGGCGGAGGTTCGCTTGTGAATTGGATTGCTTGTGCCTCGGGGTTGGCTCGTTTGTGCGTCGGGTGATCTCATCTCAAAAGAACACAAGTATGTTCTGCTGCGGGTTGTGCAACTTAATCCAGAAGAATACAAATTTGTATACTGTAATGTATAATGTATATATATATATGTGTGTGCTACAGTATTTGAAGTGAACGTTATTAACTCCCACCACCCCACATAGTTTCCAGGGGAAGCGGGGCAGAAGTTTCCTGAAGGAATGCTTGGTTTGGACATGCAATGCGATGATCAGACATGTGATGAAATCGTGCGGAAATGTGGTGCAAAGTGCAGGGCGGCGGTGAGGTGCTATGTGGTGGACTATAAGACTATGACTATGGGTGAAGTGAGAAGTGTGAAGCGATGAACTCTAGTGGTTTGCGATTGCGACCGGTATAAATGCATGTGTCCAATCGTTCACTAACAAGCGACCGATACAAGGCATTGTTCAACTGAACTGCGCTTCCGTGAAACCACCACGCACCTGTCATCTGAACCTGTCCTGTACCTATTCCGCACAACCCTCGGCGCACACGCTGCCCACAAAAACACCGCTTTTGGCGGCAGAACTTTCAATCCCAACTGTAGCAGTACAGCAGAGTATACTTTTGCACCCAGCAAATCGGATTTTTAGATGTTGTGCCAGATATATTTTGGTATGTAGGAATCGTATGATCCTGTTCGGCCAAAAAGGGATTTGTTAATCCTCTTCTAGCTGGGGCGTATGAAATGATCAACACAGGCCGCTTTGAAGGCCAGGATGCTTCGAATGATGGATTGACTGAGCTCCACTTTGGGCAGGCCTTCTTCACACTCTCCAACTTGTGCCCATATTCATCCAAAAAGTTTTTGAATGACATAGTGGCTGCAACCACTTCGCTAAGCCATTCGTGGGTCTTCTGGAGAGACTTTAGGTGCCTTTCCCGCAACTTCTTGGTCTCTACCTGCTCATAGCGCCTGGAAAGCAAAGATTTGACTATCAACTCAGCCAAGTCATGGCGGGCCTGGTCACCACCGTGCCCGAGATCCGTTTTTTTCCAAGCTTTGAAAAGCTCATCGATCAGGGCATCTGCTTCAATTCGATTTGATTTTGCCATGAGAACCACGTGCTTAAAGAGCGGCGAATGTTTGATCATTGCATCCAAAGCATTTACAGGAGAAAGATCCTTTTCTCCTTGCTGTTCCCGGCATGCAGGAGAAAGTTCCTTTTCCCCTTGCTGTTCCCGGCACTGGTCCAGAATGGCCTTTTTGTTGTAATAGATGAAGGGGATCACGTTGTTCTGGTGCAGGTACTCAAGCTCGGCGGGCCGATCGTTGCTCATGTGGCTGTAGTTGTAGCCCAAACAAAGCGACTCGAGGCGACTCAACATCCCCCTCTCATTCTTCCTGATTGCATGTTTATGGGTGAAGTCATACATCAGCGCAGTGCAGTGCTGAAGAGTTGCATGTCGGGTCTGGGTGACTGCGCAGGAGACATGTCTCTGGCAAACGTAGTCAAGGCGCTGTTTGTCGAATCGACCAACTTGTTCGGAATTTTCAAAGGGAGAAATTGCATCCGGCATCCTGTCCTTATAGAAGGAAGAAAGAAAGCACGCGCTTCAAAAAGAACAATCTGATAGAGAATTGATCAGACCCAACAGCAGTGTCAACCACACAGATTGAAGATTTGTCAATATATAAGTTTGTGGACTTTAGCTCAGCCTTGCTCTTGCTCTTCACATGTCCAACTCCCAACTTTATTGATTTGATGTTGAAAACAAAAGAAACAACTACAACTAGTAAGTACTACTGACTACTACTGATTGATCTGCTCTGCCGGAATGGGAATCGACCATGCAAACTCGTTAGGCCAAAAAACGCAACATGGCCTCTGCGAAAAGCCTGACACATTCTTCAAAGCTCAAGGTCTTCCAATTCACCCAGAACTGGTGGGTAACTGCTCTTGCGCGGAGCTTGATTCAAACCAATTTCTGTGGGTGTGGCTGTTTTCAAGATCTTCCGCAGAAAGTATGCATGAGTACTTACTCTAGACTTGCGCAAAAACATGGGAAGTCTGTAATGACGCACAAGCAACCAAATAAGAATCATGTTATTTCCTTTCAAGTATCACACTTGTTGATACTACACCAGAGTCTTCCCTTGTCGATCTCGGACAAGCCATCCAGGGAGAAAAGCATGTGAATTGCCTTCAAGCCCTCCTTTGTCAGGTTGAACAGCCCTCCATGATCATCATCATACTCCTGAGAATGAGGCCCTTGAGATGGAGTCGTGGAGTTTTCGATCAAAGCCTTCGCAGCGGCAACCAGAGGACCGCTATCTGCAATGTCCTTTAGGGCCCTCTCAATCGCAGAAACATCTTTGAATACCTTGGTCAACGATCTTGCTATGATGGCATTGTCGTCTGTGTCGTCTGGTATCGCCTTTGCTGACAGGTGATCCTCGGGGTTTGCCCTCTTGTATCTCTGCAACAACTCTTTGTCCTGATGCATAACCATGGGGGCGAGGTGTTGAGACAAAGGCGAGTAGGCAGCCGAACAGAGCGCATTTTCCCGAGATGTCTCACTAAGTTTGCCCATCAAATCCTGAAAAGGAGCATCGAAATAATGAGCGATAATGAGCAAAGCCATATCTTCAAATGGGTTCGGACTGCACTCACCACTGTAGCACACCCCTTCTTTGTTGACAAAGGCGACCATTGTTTTGATAGTATCAGTGCTTTCTTCAAAGCGGGAGGGCTTTGCTTGTGGCTGAGATTCACAAAACTGAACGTTTTGTTCTCTTGATGCATGTTTGACAGCTGCAACCAGGTCGTAGTCAGTGTCGAGCAATCCAGCTGCT